GTGGTCGTACAGCCACTGGCACGTCGTCATAGGACTCTCCGTGCTGCTGAACCTTGTTTTCCTCTGGAGGTGGTGGTTTGCACCTCAGACTCCTCTTGATAATTATCAGAATCTGTGAGTGTTTCAAAGTCGATATTGAGCACGACATCTTGCGCTGTGTCGCATCTGTGGGGGACCTCAGCCCGGTCCCATTTCGCTGGACTTCTTTCAGCGGTGACTGGATTCCTCGACGTCCATATCAGTTCAAGTCTCTCATTATTCGCTTTGTTTCTCGACAACTCGTATAAGGGATTATCCTATGACTGATCACTCATACAACAACCTTATAGGAATATGCATCCCCTTGTCGATGCTAGAGTCGAACCGATTCCTGCTCACGAAAACGAAAACGCCATTGTGACGAGCCTTTACACAGATGCGTTCGCGCCTGCGGTTGCCACGCTAGGACACACACTTAATAGTATAAACAGCACCGCACGACGCATCATGATCTATCTTCCGGACAAGGTCTCCCGGCGCGCTGTCTGTATTGCGTCTGTGAGCGGGTTTGTGCCGCATCCGGTTGCACGCATCCCGCCTCCACATAGCGGTGTACACCGACACTTTCTCGATCAATACTCGAAGCTGCAGCTCTGGACGCTCGACAGTATCGGGGTCAAGAGCCTCGTCTACGTCGACGCGGACATGCTCGCGTACCACAATTTCGACGAGCTCTTTTCGCTACCATACAGTTTCGGTGCGGTGCCCGACGTCTATCTTGACGGACGCGGATATAGCGTTGGGTTCAACGCAGGCATGTTATTTTTGCGGCCGTCGACGGAGGTATTTCAGGACATGGTATCTAAGATCGCGACGGCGCGGTATCCAGCGGAGGACGCCGAGCAGTCCTTCCTGAACCATTACTACGGCAAAGAGGCCGTGCGGCTTCCGTACGCGTACAATGCGAATCTTGCGATCAAGAAGCGATCCCCGGAGTTGTGGGCGGACCTGCGGAAGGAGGCACGTCTTGTGCACTATACCCTCGTGAAGCCGTTCCTCCAGGGCGATTATGCGGAGGTGCCGCTCGAGATGATGCACAAGAATGCCCAAAGCAAGATGCGGGTGCATGGTGGGGTGCTGAGAGAGGAAGTCGCCGAGTGGGAGGAGTCCTGGAGTGAGACGGAGGCAATGTACGGTGATGGCTTCGCCACCTGTCATCTCTCATCATGATGGCTCACATATGTGTGGACGCGAACGTATATCTGGAGAGGAACTACCATACGCTTAAGTTGGATATTCTACGATACTCGAGACGTTTTAATAGATCACTTATATATATATGTGTGTGTGGTCGCTGCGTTAGCCCAGCTAACGTGGGTTTGGATCAAGCACAAGTTAAACAAATGATCTCGGAATGATTGTTCCACTCGTAGCTGATCTACACCGGATCACCATGTTGTCACCACTCGCTCTCACTTGGAGTCATAAGTTCATCCTTCGAGTTGGACGCCCTGGCGTGCCACAATCACTCACTCCGGAGGATTTGCGAACGTCGGCCTTTTTTGCTGCCTTGCTTGATGATGGTATGCGAGCGGTATGTCAGCTTTGCAGTGTATTTGCGCCTCGAACAACGACTTTCCCATATTAATGTTGCCCCTGTCGCGTTTCAATACTTCACTGGCCAGCTACGCGAAGGTCGCATCGACGTCCTAGGCCAATTGGAAAGTTTCGGTATAGACAGACGTGCGAGCTACTAAGGTCTGGAGTGGACGTTGGCTACTTGGTGGTGATGCTGGCTGTGATTCCGGCTGCGATGACTGACTCGATGGTGAGGAAGCGCTGTACAAGCGGAAGATATCCCCTTGCCGAGAATACTTGTAGACCCATCGGCAGTGGTAAGCCACGTCAACCGGACCATGGTAGCTAGGAGCCGCAGCTGATGTATGAATCATGGTTTGTCGGGACGATTCAAGTACAAAAACCACCAGCCAGCTGCCCCATGCCGTACATCATACTGCCCTCTTTTCTTTGTTGCTTCTCAATCAGAGCTATCGAATATTTCTGCTGAAGCTATGTCTCCTACGACCCCAGTTCTCATCGTACGCCAGATTGCTTACCCGTGCGTTCATGATTATGCAGTACTGATTCTTCCTTTCCTAGGTTGGTGCGGGCCCCACAGGCCTTACAGCGGCTCTCGTCCTCGCGATGAACGGCGTCCCATTCAGAATTATAGAGAAGACCAAGACGAATCATGTCGGCCAGCGCGGATTTGGCATACAGGTATCTTACACGCTGGTTCTCGACAGCCATGTCGAACACAGCTAACAATCGTACACAGCCGAGGACACTCGAAATATTTCACTTTCTGCGAATTTTGAACGATATCAAAGAAAGGGGCAGGTCTATCGCCCCCGTTCGTTTCTATAAGCTTCCTGGTGGCACGGAGCCGCTTAAGACATTTCATTTAATACCACCCGTGGACCCAACTCCGTCTGTCCCCTACGTACGTTTGCTCATGTTGTTATTGCATTAGTGTTGATCATTACTCATCGTCTTGCAGCCGAACCCATTTGGTATTGGCCAAGAAAATACAGAAAATATTCTGCGCTCACATCTAGAGAAATACGGGCACGATGTCGAACTCGAAACCGAGCTTCAAAGTCTTGAGCAGCATCCCGACCATGTTACAGCGCATCTTGTGAAAAAAATCGGGACAGAGGAAATCACAGAGACAATCACTTGTCACTGGTTAGTCGGCACCGACGGAGGGAGAGGTGTGATCTTCGTTCTGAATGACGTCTAGCAGACTTGATTAATATCTTCCAGGCATTGTGCGCAAACAGTTAGGTCTACACTTCCAGGGCGAAACACTTCCAGAACCAGTCGTACTGGGCGAGATTGAGGCGTGTGGCATAGACTCGGAAGTATGTCCTTTTATATTCGTCATTTCGGTATGTGTATTAATCGGACCTCTTTTCAGCACTGGCATCAATGGCGAAGCGCAGACAATGTGTATGTTTCTAGATCACCATACATTGTACGCACTGATTCATTTATTTGTAGGGTCATGCTGCGGCCTACAGAGGACGAGGGCGCCTTTGCTTTCATGATTGCTGGCAAGGTTGACCACGCGAAGTTGGTGTCTGATCGTGAGGCATTACTTCAAACTATGTGGGACGGTATGGAGAGGAGCGACATCGTATTCGGTGCTATCAAATCCGTTACGGAGTACAGGTCAGCCACTTTAACGATCGTATACGCATTCAGTCGATGCTGACACTATCATAGAGCAAACGCCCGGATGGTAGACAAGTTCTTCCAAGACCGAGTTTTCCTTGCTGGAGGTCAATCTTTTTCTGCTATACTGAGGCACAGCAACTGATCATTCCTCAGACGCTGCTCATATTCACAGTCCGACAGGCGGGCAAGGCCTGAACTCAAGTGTCCAGGACGCTGTACGTATCGTTCATATTTGATTATGAATATCGCTGATTGCTCATCGCATCCTTTAGTTCAACCTCGCCTGGAAGCTCGCGCTGGTCTGTAAAGGTTTCGCTGCACCGGCTCTCCTCTCGACCTACGACGAGGAGCGTCTTCCCGTCATCGCGCACATGCTCCGAGCGACAACGAACATCTACCACGCCAACCGCGTTGCGTCTCGCGCCCTCACAGCGGAAGCTGGATCACCGCGCGACGCTGCGTGGACACGCAGCCAGGAGATGAAGCAGCTGAGCATCAACTACCGCTGGAGCTCCATCGTCATCGATGAGCGCAGCGGGCGCCTTGCTGCAGAGGTCGACAAGGACGAAGACGGTAAACCGGGCGTCGACGCGTACGGCGAGCACAGCGGCGATGGCGTCCGCGCTGGCGACCGAGCGCCCGATGCACCTGGCCTGACACCGGTCGGCACGACCGCCCACGGTGCCGATCCGCACTCCCTCTTCAGCGTGTTCGGTCCAGCGCATCACACTGTGCTTCTGCTTTCCCTCGACGCTGCGTGCGCGGGCCCCGTGCTGGCTGCGCTCGGCGACTATCCCGAGGGCGCGGTACGCTCGGCGGTCGTTCTTCCCCAGGATGCGCATGCGAGTGGCAGTGTTGCTGGTGCGGACTATACGTTCGTCGACCAGGAGGGACACGCACGGGTAGGGTACGGTGTCGCGCCGGGCGAGAGTCTGGTGGTGATCGTTAGGCCTGATGGAGTCGTCGGCGGGATGGTACGAGGGGCGGAAGGCGTGAGGGCCTACTTCAAGAACATCTTCTCTGCTTGAAGAATTGTTCAAGGAGTGTAGGGACTCTGTCGGCGGTGTGGATCGTGTGCGGTAGCTGCTTGGTTAAACTTTTCGGGTAGGATATGATACAGATCGGTAGGTACAATTCACGGTAAGTGGTATTTAACTGATCGGTCGACGTCCAAGGGGTAGAAGCCATCACAAGGTAAATACAATATTTTGACATTGTGCCTCGGCCTGAGAGTGTAGATGTGACAGAAACGAGCCATGACCAGTGTACCAGCGTACGCAGTACATACGCTGTATATCTTTTAATATATTTATTCGCATCCAGTGATTTGATGCATTAAGTCAAAGCAGAAGTAAGTGCATAACGCTGATGAGTAGATCTGCGTAGGGCTCGTTGAGTTGATATCATGCGGCTCTGAAATACACATATACTGTACATTGTGCGCATGTGCGAACAGAAAACGATATCACGCCCATAGCTTACAGCAAGCTACAGGTATTAAGTAAAAGGCTCGACGCTCACGAAGCCAGACGTCAGTATCGATATCCCCTCCTCACGACACCACTACAAATAGATCGTAAAGCTAAAGCAGAAAAGCGGAACACACAGCAAAAAAAAACACAGAACATACGACAACATTGTCAGTACACGGTCGAATCGTGAAGTCGCCACTGCCGCAGAGGC